TAGTTGTAGAATTTCCACTCAGCCAGCCTTCCTGTGGTTCTGGATGATGTCCGTTTTGTCTTTTAGTTGTATTTTTGAAGTAGTTGTTTGAGGCAGCAATTTCCGGTGTTTACCTATGCCGCCATCTTGGTTTCTCCAGCATATAATTGTTTATAGTATTTTCTTACAATCCTTTGTATTTCTGTGGTGTCAGTTGTTACTTCACAGCTTTTGTTTCTGATTTTATTTATTTGGGTCCTCTCTCTTTGTTTCTTGATGATCCTGGCTAAAGGTCCATCAATCTTGTTTATCTTTTCAAAGAACCAGCTCTTGGTTTCATTGATTTTTTTGGTATTGCTTTTTCAGTCTCTATGTAATTTATTTCTGCTCTAATCTTTTTTATTTACTTCCTTCTACTCACTCTGGAATTTTCTCGTTGTTCTCTTTCTAATATTTTAAGTTTTAGGGTTAAATAGTTTATTATTATTATTATTATTATTATTATTATTATTATTTGAGGTAGGCCTGTACTGATAGAATTTATTTCTCAGGACTATGTCCCATAGATTTTGAGCAGTTGTTATAGGAAGTTTTTTATTTCTTTCTTGATCTCATGTGTAAACTACTCATTGTTTACTAACATGCTATTTAGCCTTCATTTGTTTGAATGTTTTCAAGTATTTTTACTGTAGTTGATTTCTAATTTCATACCATAGTGGTCTGAGAAGATGCTTGATATGATTTTAATGTTCTTGTACTTCTAGAGATTTTTTTGTGTGTCCTAACATGTGGTCTGTCTTTGAGAATGACCCATGTACACTTGAGAAGAATGTCTATTCTGCAGCTTTGGAGTGAAATGGTCTATAAATGTCAATTAAATCCATTTGATTCAGTGTGCCATTTAGAGTATCTGTTTCCTTGTTAGTTCTTTGTCTGGAACATCTATCCAATGAAGTCACCGAGGTGTTAAAGTCACCTAATGTGACTGTATGGCTGTTGATCTCTTCCTTAAAGTATATTTAGATTGCTCCTGTACTGGGTGCATATATGTTTACAGGGTTTTATTCTCTTTTTGGATTGATCCCTTATGTAGTGACCTTTATTGTCTCTTGTGATGGCCTTCATTTTGAATTCTATTTTGTCAGATATTAGTATTGCTAATCCAGGTTTTTTTTTCATTTCCATTTACATGGAAAATTTTTCCCTTCACTTTCATCCTGTGTGAGTCTTTTGTTCTGAGGTGCATTTCTTATAGACAGCATATGATTGGTTCATGTTTTTGTATTCATTCAGCTACCATATGTCTTTTGATTGGAGTATTTAATCCATTTACATTTAAAGTTATGGATAGGTACTTATATATTGCCATTTTAATTCTTTATGCCTATCTCTCTCTCTATTTCTTCTTCTCATTACAGCAGTCTCTTTAGTATTTCTTGCAGTGCAAGTTTGGTGGTGATAAACTCCTTTAACCTTTTTTTTTTTCGCTTGGAAGCTCTTTATTTCATCATCTATTTTCATGATAGCCTTGCTGGATATAGTAATTTTGGTTTCAGATCCTTGCTTTTCATTACCTTGAATAAATACTTCATGCCATTCTCCTCTGGCCTGTAGAGTTTCTGATGAAAAATCAGGTGATAGCCTTATTGGAGTTTCTTTGTAGGTAACACATTGCTTTTCTCTTTCTGCCTTTAAGATTCTCTCTTTGTGTTTAATTTTTGGCATTTTAATTATGATATGTCTGGGTGTCAGCCTATTTGGGTTCTTTTTCTTGCTTGGGACTCTCTGTGCCTCCTGAACTTGTGTGACATTTTCCTTCACCATTATTTCTTCAGAAATTCTGTCCCTTGCTCACTTTTTTCTACTACTGGCACACCTATTATGCGGATATTATTACGTTTCATGTTGTCCCACAGTTCCCTTAAGCTGTCCTCCTGTTTTTTAATTGTTTCTTTCTTTTTGGTTTTCTGGTTGAGTGATGTTTTTCCCTACCTTTTCTTCTAATTCACTGATACAGTCCTCAGCTTACTCTTATCTGCTGTGTATTCCTTCCACTGTATTCTTTATTAGTGCCATGTCATTCTTCATAGTTACTATATATTTTTTTTCATGCTGTTGAGCCCCTTTGCCATCATTATTTTGAACTCTATGTCTGATAAATTTCTTATCTCCATTTCATTTAGCTCTTCTTCTGGAGAATTCTCTTGTTCTTTCATTGGGGTTTATTTTTTTATCTCCCCATTTTGTTTGAGTTTGTGTCTGTGTATTGAGTAGATCTGCTAGTGCAGGACAATGTCAGACACTGTTTGTGACTGGTCTTGAGTATTGTTTTTAAGCTATCAGCAATCCATCTCTGCTGGGGCTAGGTGCTTTTGGAAAATACTGAGATGTGCACCAGGGTCTGCTTTTCCTAGCCCTGATCCCAAAAGGAGATCAGGCAAAGATTCAAAGCCTCTAGAGATCCTCCTCTGCCCGCAGTTTGATTGTTATCAGTCTTGGTTAGCCTCAGGTTATTAACCACAGATTAGGGCAAGAGATCTTCCAACAGGGTGGGTCAACTGCCTTTCTGCCCAGGTAAAAAGCACCTGGATAGTAAATTCATGAAGGAAAAAGATCTCCTCCGAAGTGTGAGGGAATGACTCAGCACAAGAAACTGGGGTGGCCCCTTCAAGCTCCAACCCCAGAGCTCCCAACCTTAGACTCTCCTCACACAGCTCTGCCCTCCCTCTACCAGAGCCCAGGTGAGTGGCTGCACACAAAATTTTATGGGTTGGCCCTTTAAGAGAGTGCCTGTATTTCCAGATGCCTCTCACTGGCAGACTGCTTCTTTTCACAGCCAATTGTTATGTGAGCACCTTTCTCAGTTCTGGTGCTCTCTGCTGGGGGGCCTAGCTTGGGGTTTAGTCCCCAGAGTTTTCAGTGAGAACCCCCCACAGCTGAGGTATCTCCCTGGGACTTCAGCTGCTGTCTGTGGGAGCCTGGCCAGCCCTTTCTCACCTCTGCACTTTCTACCAATCTCTATGAGGTCCCTGCTTTTTGTCCTTGGTTATCAGGGTTCTCTCCAGCTAGTCCTCAGTTGATTTTTCAGGGTGATTCTTCTGTAGTTAGTTGTATTTCCAGCTTGTTCCTGGGAGTGTGTCAGTGTAGCTTCCACTTACTCCATTGCCATTTTGGAATCCTTTGGTTACTATTTTGATTGAGGGAATTGTCTGGACATCAGGCTCAATCCCCTCAATATATATGATGACCTAGGAACAACCCTCCCCCCCAAAAAAACCCCCACAAAATATATAGCAGCCAGCCTTATACTCAAAAAGGAACCTTTTTCTGGGCATGGAGAACTCCAAGGCTGTGTTGAGAACATGGACATGTGTGTGCCCTCTCAACGCCACTCACAGCGGGCTTCCTGGAATTAGCCTTGGCTTTTCCTCCAAACAAATGACGACCATCTAGTTAGTGTGATTTGAGTTTCTGGGCTCACTGCAGCCACCTTCTGCAGCAGCAAGGAAAAGGGGGAGCTTTCCTGTCTAGCAAGGTGTTCAACTGGGCACCCTCCACATACCCCAAAGCCAAGATATGCCCACCCCTCCATGGCACTTCTTGCTCATTGGACCAGTGATGTGAAATATTTAGGGGACCTCATTTGTTTCTGGGGGCTCAATTCAAAACTTTCTTTCAAATCCAAAATTCAGAGAGAAGAGGAAAGGAGAGCTGTTGGGACACCCACCTCCTGCTCCTTATGGAGGAAACAAACCACATACATCTGAAGGTGATTAAACTGTCTTTATTGGAGGAAAACAAGAAGCCATCAGTCTCATTATCATTATGACAGAAATCTTGATATGTGTACATGATTGTCAAGGCAGAACATCATTTGCTACATTGCCCATTCACAATTTTGCAGAGCCGCAAACCTATGAGGGCTAAACTTCTTGCAGAGTTTATTACATGCATGGAATAAATGCACAGTTTCCCTTCTTTTGGACAAGGATGTTTTCATGGGAAAATGGAACCAGTTGCAGGCCTGGTAATAATAGACATGGGGACATTCCTTTTGGAAAACATGCTCAGTGCTGAGAGAGCTGCAAGAAGGGCGTGTGTAATGACTAAAGCCAATTGAAAAATTGTCCCAAATTCGATTCTGGACAGAATGTACATGTTATGTTTTCCAACCTGAGCGTGGGACTGAGATAAATGCTCTCTGAAACATGTGGCCCCGCCTTTGAAAACTAACCATTTCTGTTGCCATTTGGACAGCATTTCACTCCATTCTGAGGCCAAATGCCCTGGGAAGGAGAGTACAAACCTCCCTCTCTGTCTCTGTCTCTCTCTCCCCCATCCTCTGTCCCAGCACCCAGTTCCCCAAAGTGCAGGCCTGCCATGAGGGCCAGGAACCTGTCTGTCCAGGTTAAAGTTTTCCTTTGAGAAGTAATTTATCTGGTGTTTGGGGCTTTTGAGCTCCTGGTGACATCTTACCGCTGTGACTGAAACCTCAAACACTCCTCTTGTTTTCTTTTTTCCTGTCCATAAGAAAATAAAATCACCTCTAACTAAAATAATTCAGTAAATAAGCAGAATACATAATCATCGTAGAAGTTCCCTGGAGACCAAAGGGTTAAAAACAGATATAGCAAATGCAGAAGCGGCTTTAGTACAAAGAATGAATGCAACAGTTTGTCCCTTTGGTGTAGAAAGATACAAATAAGCCATTCCACGCTTTGTCCACAAAGTCAGACGTGGCAGCCTCATGCTGTGGGTTTGGCTGCCAAATGCACAGCCTTTGGGTTAGTAGAAGTGGGGCCCCAGAGCCCCAAGCTGAGCTGCTCCCGCTGCAGGTGGTGGGCCAGGCCTTGGCTGGCATGCAGGGCCGTCCTCACAGTGGGGCGAGGCCACTGTGCCCACTCCTGGTGGCAGATCATGAGGCACGGGGACCACAATGAAGGTTTGGGCCGGAAGGGGCTGTGGGCCACTACCTTCCTCTTTCTCCTCCCTGTCTGCTGTTCACAGTAGCGAACTCATCTACAGACTAGTTTTCTTGCATGTTCAGGAAATAAGTGTCCCTCCTTTTAGGAATCTGTTTGCCCTGTTCACCATTTCTATCTTAACATTTTCAATTCTGAAAACCAAAGGATTGGAACACATTTTTTGGCAAATGTCAGGTACACTTGAAGCTCCCAAGTAGGATCAGGTGCCCCCAAAAGCATGGTGGGTTCCTACACATTTATTTTGGAGACAAACTAGACAGTGTTTGGTCTGGAATGTGTTGAGGAAAAGGCAAACTGCGAGTGTGAGCAGACAGAACGGGGCGTGGCATTGCTTCGGGGACGTGCAGAGGCTCCGTGCACTGGTTATCAGAGGACCTTGGTTTCGTTTGCCAGAAGTGACTGTGCGGCCCTGGGAAAGAGTGCGTCTCATTTCTCTTCGGGGAAGCGGAGGAGCTGCCCTTTGCCAGCTCTTGCTTCCCTTTCTCATTTCCAAAGGAACCCCGCAGTGCGCTGTGAAGTCCCATAAAGTAGGGCGGTTGCTGGCAAGATCGCAAAGGCGTGGCCCAGCGCTCCTGTCTCCAGCCCTGGAGCGATGACGATGGTTCTGTATGGCTTCCCTAGTGTGAAATCGGTAGTGGTCAAGGCTTAGGTGGGTAACAGAGCCATAGTGCAAAGCCTTAACAATACTGAGTTGTCTCCACTGGGACACGGTTTTTCCTTTCTGTTCAAAACTGCTCATGAAATGTCAAACCTCACGAACCCCAGTGGGTTAATCAGATTGAGCTGCTACTCCTGAGAGAGAGGGTCAGCCTCCTTTCAGGAGGGTCCCTTGGGCTTTCTTTCTTTGTCTCTGGTGTCCTTGGCCTTCATTCTAAAGGGGAGTCCCCCTCTCCCTCCCACAATCCATCCAGGACCTGCTGGACACCAAGGTAGACAAGTGAACAGGATGGGATTAGTGCTGGACAGGTAAACTGAGTCTAATCCCTTCCATCAGATGGCTCATCCTTCCTAAGTGCCAGCGCCTGGACTATTGGGCCGAAGGTGTCTTCTTTTGCTCCAAGCCGGACTGCCTAGTTCCTAGGACACTACGTTAAGAGCTCCTGGAGAGTGGGATCCTGTCAAAGGTCAAGCCCGTGTGTGTGTGTGTGTGTGTGTGTGTGTGTGTGTGTGTGTGCGCTGCTCCATTCTTGGGGTGAGATTTCAGAAGTGACTGGAACCACTGCCATAGTCAAGAACGCAGAGCCATGCCTGCCCTTAGGGCACGCTGCATAGTTTTCTTTAAGGGAACATGAAGGGGACAATCCTTTCTATTCTCCTGCGGAGCCAAGGGCAGCAGGAGGTGGTGAAACTGCCATGAGCAGCCCTGGCACTGCTATTGCTCCATCTGGCATCTTTTCTCAAGAGCGTTTGTGGTTTGTGCGCACTTCATGTGGGTAGGCCCTGCCCCTCTCAGCTCCAGCTGCCTCTGCCTCATGCCAACCCGACGCCCAGCCCTGTGTGCTCGCTGAGGGAGCACAGTGAGCAGTCCGGACCCCAGAGACCTGGTTAGGAGGGATACGCTGCAGGTCTGCCTGTGACCTGCGAGTGAGCAGGTGCTCGCTGTTTCAGGCACATGCTAGCTTCTCTATGGTCTCAACAGTGAGATGAAGGCCAGGAAAGCGAGGGAGGCACAGACAGGCAGTTAAGGGAAAAATCACTCAAGGACACTATTTCAAATGTAATGTTCAGGTGAGAAGAAATCCACTTGCTCTAAGAAGGTGAGGAGACCAAATGGAAGGCAGCCTGTGATGGGGCCAGAGGTCCACCCTTAGCCTCACCACACACACTGGCTCCCGGGCGAGTACCAGCCAGTGCACATAGGAAATGCTCAGCTACTCTTGGTGAAATCTGACTCTGCCACCTACTCGGCAGGTCTTAACAAAAGGCACATTCCGGGTTCTCTTCCTGTGTTGTGACGAAGCATAAACAATCCCAAATACAGCTGAAGAACCGCTAGCCTTTGGCCACTCAGGCTCTCTCAAAAGACCAATAGTTCTTCCACATGGTAGTTACTTTCTCCTCTTCATAAAACAACAGGAAATTACCCAAGTCTGGTGGCATTGAGACAGTACGGACTTGCCTGATGTCAAGGTCAAGCTTTGGGCTAAAACCAGTCCCCGTCCCCTGCACTGTATTGACTGAGACCTGACTATTACAGGCCAGCGTGGCCGAGAGCTGACCCAAACCACAGGAGGACAGCTGCAGCAGGGCCCATCTTTCAGCTGCTCCACACTTCTCAGGTAAGACATACTTTCAAGCTAATTGAATACACATGCACCCCACACATTAGCTCCAGAAAACAATGTAATCACCAATAACAGAATTTGCTTTCTAAGTGCCAGCGCCAGGCCTGTTTAACCAAAATTGTCTTCTTTTGCTCCAAGCCTGACTGCTCAGTTCCTAGGACACTACGCTATGAGCCGGCATGGCGTGGAGGGTGCCAGACCTGCAGGGGACAGTGGACACAAGGATTCAAAACTTTAGGCAAATTTTCACTCCCTATGATGCTGATTGTTTTCTTACACTGTAGAAACTTAAATGTTCCATTACGCTTATTAATAAGCAACATCCTACCAAGCCTCCTGGAGAGATGCCTCCGTTTCCTCAGATTCTCTTTACAAGACTCATGCTATCGCCCTTCTGAAGGTGAGGACTCACAGTGCTAACTGGCAACAACTTGGGCAAATGCATCAATTTGGGTGGCTGCATATCTCACTCAGTTGACACTTATTTCTTAACTGGCTCTGTTGTCATTTTGTTGTTTTCCAGGCTTTTTACAGATTTTGAAGAGTGATAGTCTGATTTTACTCTGGTTGCATGTGTGACAGATGCCAAATGGGATTCCTGCCCAGGGGCTGAGTGCCTATGAGGTATATGAAAACAGGGTAGACCAGCTGCCTGTCTTTCCAGCTGCTCTTATGCATACCTGCTCTGCCATCCTAAAGGAGGCAGAATGGAGCTCTAAATCGAATACTGTGTGTGTGCGTGCGTGCGTGCGTGCATGCGTGCGTGCATGTGTGTGTGTGTGTGTCTGTGTGTGTGTGTGTGTTGGGGAGGCTATTGCTAAACATTTGGCCTGGACATAGGCAAGGTTGTGGAAGTGATGAAGATGGTTTGACCAACAGGACCTGCCAAGTCTGGCCAATAGCAGGAGCAGAGCTTGAGGACAACAGCTAGGAAAGTCGTTGGACCATCAGCAGACCTACAGGGACACACGATGAGCTTAAGCTGTCTGTGCAGAATGCAGACTCATGGCGTTGCCTGACCATCGAGGGAGGGCTTTTGCAAAGCTGGCATTTGGAGCCACCTGCTTGCCTCTACAAGACAGCATCCTTGAAGTCTCCTTGAAAAGCGGTTTGCCCTGGATTTCACCCTGTGCTTGCTTTATCTTGCACACCCGTCCACCACGTGGGTGAATGACATGGCCCAGTTTGCCAGGGTCATTGCCAGTTATAGCTCTGCAAGTCCTACACCCTGGGAAATCCTTCAGTCCCCCACCCCCATCACAGGTCTTTGGTTTTCAGACAGCCCTGGTCAGAGGGACAGCTTCAGTGCCAGCTGAGCCTGGCTGGACCGTCTCTGGCCATCACTGCAGCTGTGTCCTGCTTGCTTGGCAGTTCACCTCTCTTTACCACCCCAGATAAATTCTTTTCCAAAGCCACTGCCCTCCCCTCCTCCAGGTAATATTCATAAAGAACAGGGTAAAAATGTGCGAAACAACTTATGTGAGTTGGAGGTCATTGTAAGTGTAAGATTAGAAATGCATTTTTTTAAAAAAGAGAGAAAGAGCGATTAGTTTGAAAACTGCATAGCTGAGAGCAGAGCTTCCAGGCATTACCCCCATGAGAAATGAGAGCAGCGTGGAAAGTTCACTTTAAACAAAATGGCATCTTGTTCCTTTTGTGAGAAAGGTCCTTAACCATCTGCTGGGTGGGCATCTCCTTCACAGCAAGTCTCGCCTCTAAAGTTTCAGTCTCAGGGGAGCAGCCTTCTTACTGTCTGAGCGCTGGGGGCACGAGGCCACTAGTGTCTCTGGTTGGCGGGGGTTTGCTGGAGGAGCCGCCAGGAAAGGGATCTGCAGGGCCTTCCCCAAGTGGCCGGAGAAGCCAGCCCCGCGGCGCTGCTCAGCTGTCCAGGGAAGGACAGAGAGAAGGAGGAGAAGTAAAGTGCACTCTTCACTTTGGAGACAGATTCTTGATCCTCTTCTTATAAATTTTAAAAATCCCTTGAAATTCGCCTTGGAGGGGAAAAAAAATCTCCTAATGGTTAACATAAAACTTCACTACCAACAAGCAAACGATATAGGTCATGTAACTAAGTATAGATTGCAAGGACATATATCTTAAAAGGAAAAAAAACCCTAATGCACAATATTTACCAATACTTAAATAATCCAGTTGAAACCTTTTATGTCATTAATGAAAAATACAACATAGACGGTTACCTATAGTGAGAAGAGCAGAAATGATGAAAGTTGGGGAGAGGACAAAGAGAGTCCATCCATTAGAGCTTTGCAAGATTCATATATACAGCACCAGGTCCTGTTAAATCAGCTCCCTTGAGTCAGTACAGTTTGTGAGAAATGAACACTTCAGAATTGCAGTATAAAATATGGCCATAAAAAACTTCTGTCTTCCAGTCCTGTGCAGGTAGGCGCACCATGCAAGGTGGGGTCACTCTGGGGTGGCTGGTGGCACTGGTGGCCCTGGGGACCCCTTCCCTGGCTCTGCCCGAGGCCTCGCCCCTGGGCCCCACATCCAGAGCCAGTCACTTGCTTCCAGAGTGCACAGTCGTCACAGTGGTGGGCCTCGGTCTCCGCTCGGCTCCCACTCCAGGGACCCCTGATGAAGAGGAAATGAAACTACAGAGCGTGGAGGGTGCCAGACCTGCAGGGGACAGTGGACACAAGGATTCAAACTTCAGAAGGAAATACTCCCCCTTCTTATGGCAAGGGTTTGTGCAGGGGCCAAACTTCTCCACACTGGACCCTAAACGTTTACCTGTCCATAGGAAAGCAATTGCAATGTGTTCAGAATGCTTACTTTCTAGACCCAACTCTTCCCTCCTTTTTTCATTATACTTACAACTGCTTTGTATTTGAATACCACATGGGGTAGCCACCACAATCCGATAGGTTCCAGAATGAGCACTTACTATGTACTAGGTATCAAACTAGGTGCTGAATAAACACTGTCATTATGAGAACAACACTTCATGAAGTTGTTATTTTAAGAACGAAGAGAGAATGTGATGCCCCTATGACCCCTGCTTGTGTGTGGTCTGCACTCTTGGCTAAGAAGCACCTGGACAGAGAGCACACCGAGAGGGGCTGTTGCCTATCCCGTGTGAGCTCAGCAGCCCTGGCCTGAACTTGGCCCTCACAGGCCACAGTCAAATGCGTCCCAAGCAGAAGTGTTGCACCGGGAGGTCTGGATGTGGATGAATCCACTGAGCTAAGCTCCAGTAGTGTCCCCCCATGGACTTTGCAGGCTTGGAAGATCCATAAAATAAATGATTCTGATGGCTTCACTGTCAGAGCTGTTGCATAAATATTCAAAGAAATGACCTACTGTGGGTTTCCTTTGACCAGAGGGTGGAGAGGAACTATGCTGACTTGGAAACGTGGGTCTAGGGGAGTGTGCAATTGGGTTGGGGGACTCATGGAGATTTTTCATTTTTAATATATTTTTAATTGTTGATAGTATTACAGATTTCTCCCATCCCCCCTT